ACTCTCTCGCATCGTCTGTGGGAGTGTCCCGATGACAGCGCTGAGAGAGCAGAGCCTTTCTCGAAGCTGCGCCCGGAGGTGATGCTCCCAAACTGCTTGAAGAGGTGCGGCCTTGCACCTGCTAAGACGTATCTGACTCAATCTGAAGTGTGTCTGGTGCAGCAGTATCTGCTGAATGTGGCGGCTAAGGCGATTCGGGCCTTGGCGCTAGAGCATCCGGATCGTGCTGAGCTTGCTGAGCCCTCTGTCTCCCTTTCGGGTTTAGGCCCTTTTGGTTTAGGCTCTTCTTCTGAGCGCCCTGTTTCTGATGAGTTGACGGTGCCTTCGGGCTCTGCTTCGGGTTTAGACCCTTCTGGTTTAGGCTCTTCGGGTAGTGATTTCCCTAGTGACCCGCATGCTTCGACAGGCTTCTCCAGCTTCGATGACGTGTTGTGCCGCCCTCCACCTTGGCCTTCGGAAAGGGGTGTGTAGGTAAGGGTGGCTTTTGTTTTCTGCTGCGTCCAGGCCGACCCTGGATGGTCAATGTTAATGTTAGATGATTATGAGGACAAGGATGAAGGTGATGATGCTGATGATGGCCCGAAAGACCTGCCGTCCAGGAGGCATGGCGCCCCCTCAAATGTTGAAAGAATACTGGACTTCATCAGCGTGCGAAAGCCATTCTCGAAGCAACATCCTCTAATGCAGAACAGCGTGGGAGAGGGGGGCTACAAGCCCCCACCCTTGTTGGCTGGAGCCATCGCTGCTGCTGTGCTGCTTTGGAATAATGTTGCTGGTACTACTTCCACCAACTCCACGACGGCGACGATGATAACTTTCACCACTGACACAAACAAGCCGACTACTTCTCATGGGCTTGAAGGAAGCAGGGTTTGTGGAGCTACGACACTTGCAGGAGGTAGTGTGTTTGCTGGCGCCTGGTCGACGGTCTGCAGCATGCATTGGGGCTGCGCCTGGCATGAGCTCTGCTACAGCTTGAAGACCTGAAGAAAGCCAGCTGAAATGATGAATGTCGCAGGCATTGTGGCCCCTTGCTGACTTCCTGCGGTGGAATCTGCCCTGGAATCTGGGAGGCGCGGAGGGCTTGGTGATGCATGGTTGACATGGAGGTACCGGCAGAAGTCTGCCAACAACGGCTCATGCAGGCGGGTGGCTTGAGAGCTTCAGGGCTTCAGGCCGGGATTTGAGGGGTTAGGCTCATGAGGCTAAGCTTGGCTCGCATTGCAAGTTCTATATTGTAGGGTCTCAAAGCATTGGGGTTCACCTTTTAAAACACCATTCCTTCTGGCTGTGAAACCGAGCGAAACTAGGATCCCTCGAGCAGGCAGGTGAACCAAATGACCGCGACCTCCACAAGAACAGGCAACCCCGCACGAAAACGCTCCACGGCCACGGGATTTCGCGGGACCTAGAGCCTACAAAATGCTTGGAGGATGCAAACCAGAACCTGCCTTTTCGGCAACTACCCTACGGTAAGGTGCCAGAGCACGACCTCGTGGCTGGTCAACGCCTAAGCCCCGCGCCGTAGAGGTGAGCGGGGTGTCCATCGGGCACTCGAAGGAGGCAGAGCACTTTGGCGCACATACCTCGAAGCGTTCTACCAAAATACGACAACTCTCGTGGTGCTATCCTTCATGTTCTGGGCAAGTAAGAACGGTTCGTGCAATGGCCATTTCCGTCGGGCAGGCCGACATGGCTGTGACTATTCGGGTAGTTGGTTGCAGACCAACGTGACGCGTCAGAACAATGTCTCTGCTTCTGACACTCAAGACGGCGATGATGAGCATGATGACCGTGATGATGAAGGCGGTGACGATGACAACGACGGTGATGATGACTGACGAAGATGACGATGATGATGGTGGTGATGGTAGTGAATGGTGATGAGCACGGTGATGAAGATGGTGATGGTGGTGGGGATGGCGATGGCGATGGCGTCGGTGCTGGTGCTGGTGCTGGTGATGGTCACGATGATGACGATAATGATGACGAGGATGATGATGATGATGATGATCATAATGGTGGAAAGGAAAAACAGGACGGCAGAGCAGACTGTGATTCCGACTACGACGACGACGGTGGCTATGACTAGGATCGCCATCATGGTCAGCATCATCACTTTGACAGCGGCGAGACTAAGGTGACTGTTGTGGTTCTTCCTGGTTTACTTGTGCTAATTGCTACTGGCTCGCCATCATCACGACTGGTGTTTCTGTTGTTCTGACTGTTGTGTCGAAAATATATTTCGCAGGGTCAACCGTGTTGCGCGTTTTGAGTATCCTGCTTGTTCCGTCCTAACCTGCCTTCTTGGAATCGGTGCCATGTCCTCCTGATGCTACATAGCACAATGAGGACTGGGCCATGCCATCCTCCCCCTGGATTTCACCAGCCTTGCATGAGTCTTGGAGCTAGAAGGGCGGCTGGAGGAGCGAGGACCAGTGGAGAAGTAAGCGCTTGCAGTCTGTCTATCTGAGCGTTGTGCCACCTCATCCGCCTGGCAAGAAGCCTGGTAATGGCTCGCGCGACACCTGAGACGAAGCTCGAGGGATTGCAGCAGTGGCAGCATTAGTAGACCAGCACGACTGGTATCAGCAGCAGCAACAGCAGTAGTGGAGTAGCGGCAGTAGCAGCTATTGTAGTAGTAGTCGTAGTAGTAGTAGTAGTAGTAGTAGTAGTCGTAGTAGTAGTCGTAGTAGTAGTCGTCGTCGTCGTAGTAGTAGTAGCAGTAGTTGTAGTAGTAGGAGTAGGAGTAGGAGTAGGAGTAGTAGTAGTAGTAGTAGTAGAGTAGCAGCAGTAGCAGCAGCAGTAGTAGTTTAGTCGTCGTCGTCGTAGTAGTAGTAGTGGTAGTAGTAGTGGTAAAAAAAATTAAAAACAGATTGCTTTCACTGGGAACTTGCCAGAGACTCGGCACAGGATCCTGAGAGCGACACAAACTAGGCGCAGCGAGGACAAGGGCTGCAAGCAGTATCATCTCAGCCTAAATCTAGAACCTAAGATGTCCTTCAACTGGCTCCATGTCGGCCTGCGCCGGAATCTTACCACATCAGCTACATCACTTGCTACTTGCCTCGTTTGACCTTCCTGCTCCCCAAGTCCCCAAACCTAGAAGAACCCTGCAAAATTGGGCTTTATGAGATGATACACAATCCAAAAAAAAACGTACACGAATTCGCTTCCTTGAAACACAGAACACGGTATTGTACGAAGGCATATGCTCTGCTCTTGCATCATCTGATGCATGCCACTGTGTGGAATCATGCGAAACGAAGCTAGCTCATGCTCAAAGAGGCTGCCCTGCAACATGCTATGCTGTGGTCTGACCTCTCGTATTGTGCTGAAAAGGCTGCGGCATGCTGCGTGATGATGCATTGAAGTTACATTTCCCGAAATGCCTGTAATAAGCTCGTGCATCATGCCGTGCTGTAGCAGTACGTTTTGTAATAGCATGCTACCTTACACTGTATTGCACGACGTTTGTTCAGACCATGCTGTTTTCTTGATGTTCGAGCTTGGTAGATATCACTTCCGTACGTTCCACAGTCATACAATGGCACATTGTTGACAATTCGATGCAATGAAATGCAACTTCTGCTATGTGGTGCAGGATTCTGTTGTGCTATGGGATGTCGTTGTAACTTGTGCTATTTTGTGCTAGTTATACTTTGCCGTAAAATGAGAAACTCGAGTTTACTGTGGTATCTAGCTTTTGGACAGCGTAGGTGTATTATGCTCTGTGGTGCTGCGGTGTCTTGTTTTGCGTTTTCCTCTGTTGCATTCTGTTGCCAAGCTGTGCAATGCTCTCCCTCGTGATGCTCCGTTTGACGCAGTATGCCATCTTGTGCGTTGCCAAAATTCTACTTTCATGAGCATGTCCCGATCAGAAGTTCGAATTATCGGGTGTTATGCCAGCAGTTGCTGTGTTTGCTGCCTCCTATGCCTCGACGGATAAGGTTTAATTATAGGGTTTACAGATTCTCGCTGAAGCCTGGGCAAGATGTTGAGTTTCCCTCCCCACAGGTCTGTGCCTATGTAGAGGTAGGGCCAGGTAGGGTCTTCGGAGCCCAACCCGCACGTCCTTCACCGGGCTACCCAGGGGATTGGAGCGATGGTTCCGCAAGGGGTCCAAAGTGTCCACAAGACTGGAAGAACGGCGCCAGTTTTCGGCCAACCCCACTTGTCTGTTCCCCGTGGCCGCAGACACCGGACTCCACATCTGCAGTGAGATGGCAGTGACCGCCTCGCTTCCCTCGCGTACATGTAGCTAACACATAGTACGTCCTAAGTCAACTAAAAGCAGCTTCAATACGAAACAGAAGGTACCGAGACACAAGGTCGGCAGAAGAACTGGAGCCTGTTGGCGGTCCATGCTCCCTCGAAGAAGTCCGTGTCGTGGGCCCCCACCAAGTCGGTGCTGTTCACCGGACCGGGCACGTCGACCCCACCGGGGGGGCCGTACGTGCCCTTGGACGCTGCTTTCAACCGGGAGATAGGGAGTCATAACTTCGGACTGAAAGTGGTTGAAACGGCGTCTGGCAGCGATCTCCCGGAAGCGAAAACTCGCGGATTAAACACTCGAAGCACACTTACATCATCCAGGCTGCCTTTCTCGGCAGCCCTCGTGCCAAGCCGATGAAGCCGATGCTACATCTCGAAGCTACGGAGCTAGGACGGATCCGGCGACTGGGAGCCTTGGTAGAGGGAAGGGTTTCGGGCTTCTGGGTGCCCCGATTGAGATCTACAGGGCATAAGGGCTTTGGCGCCAAAGCCGATGAACTCTGGGCTGCGAACCTGCGAGGACGTAGAACCTGGCATGAACAAACATGCACTTTGCCTTCTGCCGCTTCTGTGGCAATAGCAGCTAGTCATCCAACACGGCGCTGTCATCAACCACCTCAACCTCTGCACTCTTCAAGTCCTCTTTATTAAATTCTTGAGCAGCTGCCAAGGTGACATCATGAACACTGGTACAACCATCACCAAAAAACAAATCCTTGATCTCACTACATTCATCATCAGCCTTCCAACGGTAGATCCCGACTCATCATAATCACGTCACAATCTTGGTCATGACCATGAGCAGCGCCATTTTGATTCATACTGCTGTTGTTCTTGTCACAATCTTGCCATCACAATCTGCAAAACCATCATCATATCGCAATAGGCATCACTATGCATGAACTGGGTGCTGCTCAAGCGGCAGCATGTATGCTTTGCTTCCCAGGGTTGTCCATGGCTCCTCGACCAAGTGCCACACACAAAAGATATCACTTGGACTTAAACACGAACCCTAAATCAAACCTGTCTAGTCGTCAGGGTGTCAAAGCCAAAACCCGAGCAGAAAGACTCTGCGGGAAGAGAGGTGGCCGAGGTTTAGGTGATCCCGTCCTCACCGGCAACAAACTGCTTGACGCGGGAGTCATCAAAGAGGAACCACTCCCCTTTTGCAGACTCCGCGTAGCAGACGTAGTGCCCAGACCTGCTCAAGACTCCGTAAAGCCGAAACTCACACATCCAGGCCCAACGTAGCCCGAACTTCACAAAAGACTGAATTGGAAGCCAAACGTTCTAATTCTTCACACAAGACTCCTCAACGCCCATCACACCCCTATAGCAACGACGACGACCACCACAAGATTCTGCCGCTGGTGGAGGTAATGGTGGTGTTTTTATGAAGAGAGCGATGAAGATTATGACGATCAGGAGGACATGATGCCCACGGTGACATCGAGGGATGACGACAGTGACGGCGACAAGGACGACCGGTCATGGTGATGAGGCCCGCGAGATGCTTTGTTCCTGGGCTCAGGATGGACACCGCAGAAACTCAAGAAGTAGATGGCACCTTGGCGATGCCCCTTCGTGTGAGACGATGGCACGGAGCTTGTACACGGGCCCCTCTGCCGGCTCGGCCTGGAGCTGAGCTTAGACTTACAGGCTTCGCGCTTCTAGTCGCGGATGGGATGTACGTCCTCTTCGAGGACGTAAGGCAGAATGTTTTTTGGTATCGATCAAACCACCTATGCTCCTCGAGATTCCGAGCAGAGGCAACTGCACGCCGATGCCCTGAAGCCTCAAGACCCACCGATGCCCTGCGCACCCACACATCTTGAAAACCAGAATAGTTGGTCCGGAGTCCGAACCCCAAGACGTGTAACGATGATAAGCACGATACTACCAGCAACCCATGGACGGCTGGCAACAAGGAGACAGGAGCCAACACAGTACCCTGGACACCCCATCTCAATCCTCCACTCCGAGCCCTAGACCCGAGACTCCTAAACCCCAAAGCCGTGAACCTTAAACCCCAAACCTCCATCCTCAAATCCTAAAGACCGTCTCTGAAAAGTTCTGTTATCCCTTCCCCCCCCCCCTCGTTGAACTCCCACCTCGGAGCCCGGAGCTCCGGCAGCGGGCCTGAGGCTTTCTTTTGACTTCTATGGATAGGGCCACTCTAGACTCTAGGGGTTTAGGGTTGCGGGGTTTAGGCGTTTCGGGGTTTATGGTTGCTGGTTTTGGGGTGTTCGGGTTTGAGATGGTTTGAGGGAGCAGGTCGTACATGACAGTGGAGAAGGCAAGACTAAACCTCCCAACCTCATCCAACACGCGACAGCTCGAACCCAACTACTCAAAGTGTCACAGCTGCAACTATGGCGTAGAGTTTCGTTTCAATTCCGTAACAACACCCCAAGTCATGTCCTTGGCTCCAGGCGTGGCAGTGGAGGCCAGAGGCCTCGCTGGGAGTCGCGCCGGCGACACGCCTGCATGAGCACGTGTGTACAAGTAGGGTGCTTCTATCTATCTGTCTGTCTATCTATCTGGCTAGCTGTCTATTTGTCTATCGTCTGTCTATCTATCTATCTATCTAGCTATCTATCTATCTGTCTGCGTCTCTATTTATGTTACAGTTGGTCTCATATATAGATTAGGTGTTAGTAGTATCTACATATGATACCAACTGACACATTCTAACAGAATAGTAGTCTTGAAGTCGACGTCATCCCATAGTGAACTCGCCGAACAAAACAGCCCAGGTCAGAAACCGTTGGTGAGTGCACAGAATACACAATCCTGAGCAGATGACACAATAGAAGAGTAAGAAGAACGAGAACGACCACAATCACAACCGTAACAACCAGCACCACAGCGCAACTACAACGGCGACGGCGCCAAGGAAGACGATAACGACGACGAAGGACGACAACGGCAACAACCACAACAACCACAACGACAACAACGACAACCACAACGACCACAACGACAGCAACCACAGCGACGACGACGACGGCGGCGGCGACGACGACGACAGCAACAGCAACAGCAGCAGCCGCAGCAGCAGCATGCAGAAGCAGCAGCAGCAGCAGCAGCAGCAGTCACAATAGTCAAAGTGCACCTACATTGACACTCAGAAATCATCGTCATTCCCACAGCCGGCGTCGTCGCGGCGGTCGTCATGGTCACTGCGGCGTCGTTCGTCTTGAGTGCTCAACGTGGTAGTCTTCGTCGCATGTGGGGTGTCGTCAGTAATCGGCATGGTGGTGCTGGTCATGGTCGTTGCCGCGAGTGGTCGGCGTGGTCGTCGTCGTGGGAGCAATGGCCTGCTTAGTGTAAGGAGGAGGCAGAGAAGCAGCAAGATCGACCGGCTCGAACTGATTGATGCACCTGTGGTGCTGCCCTTGCCAAGGATGTCTTCCACATCCAACCTCGGACATGCAAACCCTGTGCCGAGATCTGCACCCAGGCTTGCTAAAGAAAGCGGCTTCTCAAGCACAAGCAAGTCAAGCATCTTGAGGTTTATGGGCTTGCTGGCAACTTAGCGCGAACCGAAGGCTCTGCTTGAAAGGTCCTTCAGCAAAAACGAACTCTTGGCCACGAGCATGTAGGGGATCTGGACGGACTGATGCTGCTTCTCGTAGCGTTGCTGCTCCATGTTCGGAACCTGAGCCAAACAAGACAGATGTTTACTGGATCCTAGAATAAGGCCCTTTACCCCGATGCCCTGAACCCTATGAGGTCCACACGAAGCGCTTGAGGTGCAACACCAAGACCCGCGGGGCCTCCGAAAGCTGCGTCTCCTGCGTTGGCCCAATGCACAAAGCCCTTCCACCACTTTGGGAAAGAACCCTGAATTCGTGCTTGAAGCCTGAAAGCTACCGTTACTTGGACCGTTCGTCCTGACATGTCCTGACAGGTATAGCTCGCTGCTACAGTAGGGCCCATACCGGACGTCGCCCACAAACAGGGCCACGGGTGGCAGCAGTTCAGGGGCCCAGGATGGCCCAGGTCTTACCGTTGAGGGTTTGGGGACCAAGGGTTTCCCGGAACATTCACTTTATTCTCCATGCTATGTTTCGCTGCAGTTCGCGTTCTGAAGATAACGAATGACATCGTATACAACATAGACATACTGCACGGCGTGAAATACCGGTCCAACCCTGCAGACCCAAACATTGAGAGAAAAAGCTGAGAATCTCCGAACAACGGGCCCGTCCAGCAGGGCCGAGGTAGCTTCGCAGTGCTCGCATTTCGCCTGGGAAGGTGTCTGGCTGAAGCTCGAAACGTTTACATAGTTACAGTTTTGCATCCAACCATTGCAATACGCCTGGTCACTTAGCAGTTCGCACTTTTCCGAGGACTTCTGGCCGCTGCGCCGGGACGGATGGCCAAAAAGGGTTCCAGGCCACGGCAGATTTCGCTCAAGCAGGCTCCTACTTTTGAAGGCAGGGCCTTGACTTCGGGAAACTGTACGGGCCTCGACGGTCTCTGCGTCGAAGTAGCTGCGAAACATAGCCTCGATGGAGAGCGGGTTGACGTCAGTGCCTCGATAAAACCACCAAGCGACCCCGGAAGCTCTCCCGGATGCTGGCTGAGGAAAGTGCGGAAGTCCAAGGAGAAGTCTCGGAAACGCTCAGTCACCTGATCGTTCACACGGGGCTGCGACGCCACCCTTGCCTCTCACTCCTTGTTGCTACTATAGGCTGTAAGCTATCATAGTTGCCGACATCGTCGACCCAGCAACACCGGGCCGTCTTCATCAAGGTGCCAGAATAAAGGGCATCATAAATGAACCGAGGCCCGTGCCTGACGAGGCTTCCCACACCTGCGGAGTCTGGAGCTTGCGGTTCGGGGTCCCAAGCCTTTACAGAAATTAAAAAGATCAGGAATGGCCAGAGTATGGCCAAGCCGGCGGACGAGCCCCTGGCTGCGTGCACGTCAATTGCTTGAGCAGCTCCGCATCAAAGTGGTTCTGTGTGGCCTCCGCCGCCCAAGGAGACCAAGGTTCAGAACGCGAAAGCCAGAGGACAAATACCCCTTCAAAATGCTACGAGCACGCACAAGTCATGATGATGACGAGAAGGAAGGCCACGACAGCGACAATCACGAAGAGGAAGATGAAGGAGAAGGACGATGACGACAACAACAACGATGATGACATATGATGACACTGATGACGATGATGATGATGATGATGATACAAAGTGCTCGTCCCAACTAGGACTCTAGAGCCACACACAGACACATGCAGTGCCGGAAACAAAGCCGTGGCTCCGCTTCGCACGGCAAGGATAAGGCCCACGCAAGCACAGGTTCTTGATCCTCCGCCGAAGTCCGGGCCAGGCAGTCCTAGAGCAGGCGGAGGCCCCGTGGTGTCACCACTGGGAAACTTGAGCCTTGTGACCCCTCAAGAGCTCGTCGTGAAGCTGGTTGATGTACCTGTGCACAGGCCGCTGTGACTTACACGCGAGCCGAACACCTGTGCCGACAAGCTGCTCCAAGAAGAATTCGTGGGCATCTTGCTGGCCGCTACCTCTGAACATTGGCCTTCGAGGCATCAGGACCACGGCGTCTGGGGCACGGTTTAGAAATACTGAAGGCTTTTCCGTGCAAGGGGCTTAGGGTGCGGGCTTTAATGCGTCGGCGTCTGCAAACCTGTCCCTGGCTGAGCTCGGCACGCGGCGATGGCGATCTGCTCTCGAAGCTTGGCAGGGCTCAGCCTCTGATGAATCACGATGCTCAGCACGCCTTACCATCGTCATCACGAACACCATCATCCTTCTCAGCTTTGCGATTGTTGTGGTCGCTGCCAGCGGTTCTCGTCTTCTCCATATTATCATCTGCACCACGACCATTATCACCAACGGTAATGTCATCATCATCTCGTTGTATCAACATTCCAGTCACCCTCATCATCCTCATCACAATGTCATCGCCACCATCAGCAGCAGGTGAAGCAAGCACTCACAGCTGCACATTCGTCGACTACATCACCAGTTGCCACCAGATATCATCAGCATAGTTCGTCATCTCTTGATGATCCTCCTCGTCGTCTTCATGGACATCCTCGCCATCACCATGATAAATCACCGGCCCCGCTGCTCTCATCCCTGTTGTGTCCTTGTCGACCTCCTCGTTTATCACAGTGGCCAGCATCATCATCATCATCATCATCATGCTGCATTCATCAACAGCATGAAGAGCATCGTCATCTTCACCATCACCGTCACCAGTATCACCAGCCTGTACCATCACCATCATCATCAACATCATCACCCTCAAAATCAACCTATCCTGACCGTCTAGTCACCGGCGTCGCTCTCATCGTCATCGCTGCCATCTGCTATCGACGGCCTCAACATCGTCTGGCAGGGCCCGGACGGTGCATTTTGCGCGGCCTGCAAGCGCTGCAGGATGTCAACCTGCATAGGTGCACGAGACGGGAGCACGTTGATTCCTTGGTTCCCTTCAGGGTTTGGGGTTGGGGAAGGGGGGGGGCATGGTGATGCAGACCTTGCGGCCTTCATGTCCTCGACTTGGGCTTATGGTTGTGCTTCAGGACCCATGGCCATGGCCCATGCCCTTCTGACCATGCCTTTGACTCTATGACTCTCGGACTTGAGGCAGAGGTTGTGAAGTGACTCCACTGCTCGGATCTGAAGAGCGGGCGCTGCACTTGAAGAGCGGGCCGTTTGTGCAATGAGGCCATCGCGTTGCCCTGGCAGTGCGGTCTCGGAGAAGATCCAAAACGGAGGACATGCAGAGCTGGGATCAAAGCTTCCCAATGTTTTATGAAAAACCAAAGCAGCCCTGAACTGTGAAGTTGCCGCCTCACAGACCCTCAAACCGACAAATCACAAACAAGCTGGGAAGACATGGACGTTAGCTCTCCGACGAACTCGCGAGATGCGCCTACGGCCTGGCAACCATGGCATTAGCTGTCATGATAACAGCTAGTCAGCTAGTCTTACTGTTCATCTTATGATTCTTCTTGCTTGACGACCATTGCTATTATCTTCTTATCATCCGTGCCAGCAGCAGCAGCATTGTCATCACCAGGAACAGAGACGGTGATAGTCGCAACAGCGAACGCAGTGACCCCCGGCGAGCGAACCGGAAAGCAACACCTGGGTGACCGCGTTGAGGTAGCACGTGTTGCCTCGGGCAGTGCGGCTCGTGGCAGTCCACAAGCAAGATGACGGAACCTTGCCTGAAAATCGTGAAACCCAAAGTACCCACCCCCCCCAACACAAAAGCCGCACGACCCCTCCCAATCGGCCTAAGTTCTGTAGCCCGAAAGCTAAGGAGGATCGGTAGCCGTGGTAGACGGAGGAGTCCTGAAAGAAGACGTCTTAAGGCTTAGGGGCTACTCTACACTTAGCTGAAACGTGTTTGGGGCTTAGGCCTCTAGGGTTTACGGTTGCTTTTTCAGGGCTTTAGAGCTTTAGGTTGTCGGGGTTGGGGTTTCAGGATGTTGGCTTAGGGTTTACGGCTTTAGGGTTTTGGAGGTTCGGAAAGGTACGCTCTGGGGCTGTTGGTTTCGCATACGCAGTGTGAGGAGGGCTTCAGGGTATTAGGTCTTGCATCTAGGGTTCGGGTTCAGGATTTTGGGGTGTTGGCTTTCCTCACCTTCCCACCCTCCCCCAGGCCTGCAGCGGATTGGACACTTTCCTCTGAAGAACCGCATTCCTCTGTGGCTGCCTGGACAACTGAAAAGGATTGATATTTATTTAGAATATAGAACTTACAGAACATAAAATGCATTCTAACACAGTAAATTATCAAACACAATCTAACATAAAATACAGTATGATAAGATATGATATAACCTGGTGTAGTCTCAGATTTCATATACTATATATACGGGCTGCACGCGTCTGGCACCAAGGACGCGGCATGCGCCGCAGTGGCTGGCTCGGCCGCCTGGCGTGCCAGAAAACGATGGTTTCGGACCCCTACTCAGATCAAGGCGTCCTAAACCTGTTCCCGACACAGGTTAGTGCTACATTATGGTGAACTGTGCTATTGTCATTCTCGCTCTTATCATGTAATGTTTTCATTGCAATTGTTGTTGTCCCTATCAGTCTTGTCATTAATGTTACTACTATTATGACCACGATTATCATGATCGGTGATATTTTTCATGCAGTATTAATACACATTACGATTATAATTATAATTATGATTATGATTATGATAATTGTTATTGTTATCATTATCAGTGTTAATGTTATTGTTATTGTTATTGTTACACTTCCTATTATCATGAGTATTATTATTATTATCATTTTTATTCTTATTAATAGTAATAGAAATAGTAGTCGTCGTCGTCGTCATAATCGTTGTGCTGGCGGGCAGTGGTAGTAGTCGTGGTCGTGGTAGTATTACTGGAGTATTACTATGATTCGTCTATTACTAGTGCACCACTCTTCAGCCGGCGCTGACGGGCAACCGAGACTGTAGGCCTGCGTGTGCGAACAACTGTATCAATCTTTACTGTCACTGTTGCTGTTACTGTTACTGTCGCTGTTACTGTCGCTGTTATTGTTACTATTGCTGTTACTGTTCCTGTTACGGTTTCAATTGCGGTTACTGTTGCTGTTGTTGTTGCTGCTGTTGTTGCAGTTGTTGTTACTATCATTGGTCCGTCAAACATTTGGCCTCAACCCCCACATTGACATGCCCAGAGCACGCCAGGGGCCGATCGTCGGAGGTCTTCGTCACTACCCTCGGCCGGGACACTGCACGAGTCTTGCGAGTGGCGAGCGCTTTGTGGTTTGTTGTTCCACCTTCATGCCTTCCGGGTCTCGGCCTCTCAGGATGAGAGGTGTAGTGTATAGTGCAGGTGAACGCACGTTCAAAGCAATAGAAAAAGGCCGGAAGTTCGCTTCCCAAATACAGAGAGCTAACAACCACACAGCCGAAAACACCTGAGCCCCGCATGAACAGACGAGTGCTTGGCCAAACCCCACCCCAAGAAGCCACGAAAACATCCACAGAACAGGACACCTCGGGGCGATACGAGTAGCCCATGAACCCAGAAACGGGCTCCGGGCTTGGAATCCAGGACCGCCCGCTTGTAGTTCAGGGACTCAGCGACCTCCGCTGGAGGCGATCAAAGGCGTATCACAGCACAGAAATGATAAAATCATGGTCGTCGTCATCATGGCTGCAGGCATGGATAAACAAGAAAGCCCAGGAAGAGGCGAAGGAGAAGGAGGAGGAGGCTTTGGCGCTCAGGCTTCTTGAGGAGTGCTTGGTCTGCAGAGAGGGGCGTTGTTTGCTCTACGACTCTACGATCTTGGGCTTGGGTCGAGTGGTAACTGACCGTGGGTTGGTTTCTTTTGCCTGCGACGGCAGGAACTGCTGCTTTCGAACACAAAAACCAAGCTCGCTGTTTTTGGTCGCGCAGTGGCCCTTCTCATATATATATATATGTATATATGTATGTATGTATGTATGTATGTATGTATATATATATATATGTAGAAAAAAAAAAATATATATATATATATGCCATTCCTTGCAACAGTTCGCCGCAGCGGCAGGCGCAAGTCCCAGTGCTTGGGGTCTTGGAGTGGGGCTTGCCCCAGCTCCGGCCCGGAGCGAAACCACCCATGCCAAAGAGAGGAACAACACCTGCGAGGACAAGTTAAGATAAGTGTGTATCGGAATAAGAACGGTGAGAGTTTGTATCATAAATCTATATCTATATATATATATATATGTAATGTGTATATGTATGTATATACATATATGTATGCATATACATATATATATATATGCATATATATATATATAGGTAAATATGTATGTATATTGAGCCATGGTCGTGACGTCATCACTCATCGTCCTCTTAACCATCACCCCGCCCGGCACCTCTATGCGAAGAGAGACAGCCAAGAATAGCAATCTTGATGAAGCCCACTCCCTCCCGTAAGGCGTGGGCGGGGTTCCTGATTCTCAGCGTGTTCATGTTGGACATGACCCTGATCGCAGGGCCCCTTCAACACTGGGCGCTCCGGGTTTCCGTGAACTGCTTTGGAGAACTACTTGTTTGGAGGTTCAACATGCAGAGACCACAGCACACTCTTCAACCCCACCCTCCCAAACCCTAAACCCTCAAACCCTAGACCTTATTTAAACCCTAAGCCTCATGAACCCTAAATCCTGAACCGTGAACCCTAAACCAGAGAGAGACCGAGCACATGTCGTATACAAATGAATGCGTACATACGCATGGCCCACGATCTGCCCCAGGGTTGATTCGCACAGCGAGTTGTCAAGGACAAAAAGGTCCTTTTGTCTCAAATGTCTCAAGATCCTCTGCTTCTCCTTCACCTGGGACAGTTTGACGCGAGACAAAATCCTGCTGCAACGAGGAGACATCGCGCTTCATAGAAGCATATCTTTCCTTCAAAGCGGCCAACTCCTCTGTTGCCGCCGATTCATCTGAGGCGTTGTTGTTGGCAGAACAACCCACGGCGACAAGCGACAAGCCGTCAGTTTTTGGTCAATTTGTGTGTTGCATATAACCCCTGCGTTGCATTCCGTTGCCCTTGTTGCCACTCTACACACAGTCTGTGCCTAGAGGTGTTCACGTAAAGTCGGGACATGCAAGGCATACGAACAACGAGACGCAGCCTCTTCCTCAAACCCGTATCTGAGGTCCACACTCGAAGCCATCGTCGTCGATCTTTTGCTTCTTCCTGGCGGAGCTTCGGCTCTGAAGCAGAGGCTGGGTGGGCAGTATGGGCTTTAGGGTTCAGGAGCCCTTAACCCTTGTGACAACCACGAGCCCTAAACTTCCCTGAACCCGGGCTCCTGGGAGGTTCGGGTGCAGGCTTTGGCAGGACCTCCGGAGCCTTGATCGGTGCGCTTTTGGGGGCGGACCTGAGCGTGTTGCTTTGATGTCGGACAGAATAAGTGCGGTTTTGGGAAGTGTGGGGTTTACCGTAGGGTCTAGGTTGGTTGAGGGTTTAGGGGAGTTCAAGCTCTCTTCGTTTTTCATGACGGATGCCAGATTCCATCATGCAGCTAGGACTACATTTGCAGAAACCGTTGTCAGTGCTGATTGCCATCACCTTTGCTGCTACGTCAGGCATTGCTGTTACCGTTGCGTCAGGCATTGCTGTTACCGTTACTGTTGCATGTGTGCAACTGGCACTATGGCATCATTCGCGCTAGTATTGTCATTGGTTGGACTGATACAGGGACACGAGGGACTATTCACACCAGGTCGAATTCGCAGTACTCGTGTCCGTGACCAGATCATTCTCAGCAAAATTGCTCAAGCGTCAGCAGTGCGAGAAGTGGCACTGTTGCTATGTTTCCCGCGCAATTTTTGCTGTCACCTAAATTCTGTAGTTACTTTGTTCTGCATAGTTCTTCGAACGTTACTCGATACCACAAGGACACAAAATGGTAACCAGCTCTCGGTTTGTCATGGTGGCAAGTGCTGGATTTGTGTGTCGCGGTCCGGAGCTCGGAACACGAAAATGTTCGACCTTTGAGTGGAAGATCTACGAGGTGTCCGGTTCTGGCTTGAGGTTCCAGGTGTCTGGGGTCGCAGATGCGTACACCGTCTGCAGATGGGTTGTCGCAGCTGCAGCTACCTGCATGGATAGGATGGACAGACAACCCTAAATCCTAAACCCTAAACCAGCTGTGGCCATGGCTTCTTCTTCCACAGAGCTGTGGCCTCGCTCAAGTACTCGCCGGCTTCCTTAGCCCATTCGCCCAGGGCCTGGGGCCCCGGCCCTGGAAACCAAAGTCTGGGCTCTTCTTCAAAAACTTAATGAACTTAGTTTCAGTTACTAGGGATCTATAGTAGACAATAGTTCAATAGGGTTCTCTTACTATGGTAACTTAAAATAAGTCCATGAACAAGAACCCAGAAGTGGCTTACTCGAGTGCAAGAACGCAACTTCATCTTGGAAACCAATTCCTGCGACAGTCACGTAAACGTGACGATCTACGCATTCCCGGGCAGTGGCAGCGGAACACTAGAAGCCGGGCTCCAGGCGAACACCGTGCTGAAGGTGATCTCACAGCAGAGGTCGTCGAAAAACAAGCGCAGGGAGGTGCCCTGCCACACTTGCCCTAAGCCCAAGCCGGAAAAGAGCCCAAAACCGCACGAGCCCCACACCTCGTGCAGCGTGGGCTCTGCTGTTTGGTGCTCCTTCCAACCAGCCTTTTTCAGCTCGTCCGTCCTGAGGCTCGAGGGATATGGGCTTTCACTTGAACACTTAGACACTTTAGTCGGCTCTGCTCTAGTGATACGTCGTTTCATGTTCACGTTTTCACAGTTGCGACGGCCCTCGCATCTCGATCCTCCAACCCCGTTTTTTTGCTCCTCCTGCTCGTCCTGCTGTTTATGCCAGTGTATGCCAGTTTATGCCACGTCTCTTGCTTAAGTATGATTCTGCTGCTGCTGCTGCTGCTGCTGCTGCCGCTGCCGCTGCGGCTGCTGTTGCTGCTGCTGCTCCTGCGACGACAGCGACAATGCGAATGACCCACTGTGGCTACTGCCGTGGCTTTTGCAGCCACATTCCACTCTGTCAATGAGGAGCGATTGTCATTTGCCTTTTTTGTGTTTTATCTGTGCCTTTTAGTTCTTCGTGTCGATTTGTGCCTTTTTTCGTGTTGATCTGTGTCTTTTCCTTGCCGATTCCTATGCAGCGCCTGCATTTTTCTTTCCTTGTACATCTTGGTTCCTGTGTCCTGGATCGAAACACATGGGTTGTGTTAATCTGTGCCTTTTCGTTTGTGTTGATCTGTGTCTTTTTTCTGCTCTTTGTATATATAAGTGTATATATATATATACTTATATATATATATACTTATATACTTATATATATATATAAGTATATATAGGTATGTGTGTGTACATACATGTATTTACTGTCGAACCAGCACCTGTCATCTGTGACTCCCGACCGTTTTTCCTTGTAGTTGAAATCTTTTTCAAGCAGCAGCAACAACAACAACAACAACAGTCATCTGTGACTCCCCACTTTTTCTTCTTTTGGACAGGTTCAAGCTGGATTCGCTCCGTAGGGTTTTCGCCTCCTCAGGTTTTTCTCTGGGGTAAGAGGTTCCTGCTGGATTCACTCCTTAGGGTTTTCGTCTTTGGTACAAAGTTGCAGCTGGATTCACTCCTTAGCGTCTTCCTTTTCGGTAAAAGGCTCCTGCCGATTCACTCTTCGTCTTCGGTAGAAGGTTCCTGCTGGATTCACTCCTTAGGGTCTTCGTCTTCGTTAACAGGTTCCTCGTCTTCGGTAAAACGTTCCTGCTGGATTCACTCCTCAAGCTTTTCGTCTTCGGTAAAAGGTTCCTGCTAGATGCACTCCTCGGGGTCTTCGTCTTCCGCAAAACGTGCCTGCTGGATTGACTCCTAACGGTTTTCGTCTTTGGTAAACGGGTCCTGCTGGCTTCACTCCTGAGGGTTTTTGTCTTCGGTAAAAGGTTGAGGGTGGACAACTATTACCACTACAAGGAGAAGTACACATACTATGGCGGCACAGACAAAAAGAAAAGACACAGATCAACACGATTTAGAAGGCACTGATAAACACAAAAATAAGGCAAAAATGAACCCCTTTCCGTCAATAACCCATGCTCAATCCCAATACCCCAAATCTAACGCAGATGCATCAAAAAGAAGAATCCTCCCCTCACATCCCATGGCCAAGAATTGAGACCCTCAGGAATGATAACCCTGCAGATTCCTTATGGAACCTTATCGAACCCTGATAGACCCCTCTGACTCTGACATCCCCAGCCATCCAAAACTGCCAAATTGCCTGGTCGGTCTTTTAACTACTTCTCCAGACACCTGCCAGACAGGCAAGAGCGGAAGGATGCAAACGGGATACCAGTGATACCAGTTTTACGATGTAGGGTTTTAGGAAGTTTAGGGTTTAAGGGCAACAAGAACAAAAACACTGCAAATGATGCTTAGAGGTAAGAGAATTCGAAGTCGACGACAAAATCATAACACCAAGACCATGCCCCACCTTCCTTCCTGGCTCCACGGAAAAAAGCTGCACCCAATCTCTTGCGCCCGCCCACAGTACCCTGCCTGAATCCCGAAACCAATTCTGGGAACCCTTGCCTTCATGAAGTTGTGCATCACAAGCCCGAAGTTTCCCTCGTGCCGGGCGATCTCGGCCAAGGAAGCTTGGGTTCATGGCTTCAGGGTTCAAAACACTCTCGGGTTGAGCTGTTGAATCATGCTAGGTCTAGCAAAGTTGCCCCATTGCCAGAATCCACACCCACGACACAACCACCTCCACCACACCACCTTCAATACCACAACCACCACCACCGGTACCTGCCACCACGAGAGCAATCAACGGGAGATGCAAAGCAAAAGAGAGAGAGAGCGAGAGAGAGACACACAGAGACGAGAACAATCATTTGTCGGAATCCAAAACATGACGACGACAGACACAGAAATTATATTGGCAGACTGATAGCTCTCGAACTGATGATTAAAAGAACGTCTAAGACTACCGTCATCAACCTTAAACTCATTCATCAAACGTCATTCATCATGATCATGACCATCACCGTCACCATCACCTGAATGATCATCGTCATCACCCTAACCCAAGTAGCCAACAGCATGTTCTTCGCTATCACCACTAGCATCACCTTCTCATAATCGTCATTCATCTTCCTCATCACCGGGTCCGACTACATCATTGCTCCCCCATCCTCATCATACAGACTATCATCATTGGGCATCATGGTAGACGTAGACCACGACGACGACGACCACCACGACCACCACGACCACCATCACCAGGAACACCACGACCACCACGACCAACACTGCAACATCTTCAGCAGCAGCACATCATCGACAGCGTCGTCCCGGTCGTCCTTGCCACTATTTTCGTACAAATTTGTGTTAATGGCAACGTCTCCAAAGGTTTTCATGCAATCACCAAGCGTATATATCGTATATAGAGTTTGCACTTGAAGCTTCCCTTGTTGTAGGTAGCTGCTTTTGCTAGTGTTGGATTCTCAGTAGAAGCAGAGGTAGTCGTGGGCGTGATGTTACGGTTACGTCGAGTATGTGGCGCAGAAGTGTACATGTCGCTGGGTTGTTGATGCCAACACCATGTAAGACTCAACTCCATGACTATGACCTATGACTATGAAGTGATGATACTCACTTACACAAAGCATATGTCGCTGTACAACTTCCTCATCTTTGTCCCGTCACCACGTCTGACATCTTCAGAAGAGATGAAGACGGCAGGGCTTTGAGCCACAAGTCTTCCCCAAATCGAGCCTCCTCTTCGCCATGGAGCCATCTGAGTGTGGCAAAAGGCATGGCGTCTGCCGTGCGGGGAAGTGTCGCTTTGGGTATGTTTGGGGGCTTGCAGTCTCTTGGGTTCGAGGGCTGATGAGGGTCGAGTCGAGCAGTTCATGCGTGGGCATCAGCTGCCGGCATGTGTTCGGCCAGCGCTGCAAGATGTTTGTTGTGGCTCAGCTCTGTGATGGGGCAATTTGGATTTCTGCAAGGATTCTGCGACTGCCGAGAATCAAGACGTGGTGCCTTCGTGGAAGCATGACTACCCGACACGTAATCTGCCTAACTTGGTGTGTAGCGGCCAGGACATCTGCGCGGTAAGCTTCGCGGCAAAGGCGACACGCTAGCAGCTGCAAGTCGGCATGCAAATGCAAACATTCCGACTGACTGCTCGCTGCATTTTCTCAAATTAGGCACAAGTCTCACAAGTCTCACACGATCATCCTTCCGATATCACCGCAAAGGACGAGCCAAGTCACAAATTCTCAGTTTCTTCAGCAGGCCGTGCCGAAGCTGCCGATGCAGCAATGGCATGTTGACAAGAAACTGGCGTCCAACGCCACGTGCAGAGGCCGGCATCCAACACGCTGGGACAGCGATCACGGATGCGAATCGAAGCGCGGGAGGCCACAAAAGCTCCGCCACGCATCGTCGAAGGCAACGCGCACGGAGAGTCGTGGGCAGCGGCCCAGCCTGAGGTCTCTGGGCTTCGCGAGCTCTTTTGAACGCGAGAAACTGCAGACTCTGAGGCCGCCGCAGTTGGCAAAGCATGCCAAGAGTGCAGAGCGACGGTACATGGCTGAGGTACACCTTCACGTGGCCCTCGAAATCAGCAAGCTGCTGCTTGTCCAGTGTCGAAGACATGGAGTGTAACAGCGCGAGCAAGGCCATCCTCTCCGCAAATCGCCCGCAAGCTGCAAAGGGCTTGAGCCAAGTCCCCAGCTCTTCCTCTAACGACTCCTGAGTCTGGGGCTCAGAGACGAAGACCCGTCCGGGGAGCACGCACTCAACGCCGCTCGGATGCAGGACCTTCCACTTCGCATACGCGACGATGCTGTGCACACCGGGGATCTGCCATTCTCGCAGCACGCTCCGACATTGCCACCGCGCCTCGCGCACCCAGCCGTGGTCGGGCGCCGAATCTAGAAAGCCCAGTGCTTGCAAGGCTTCCACGCTGTATGTTGGACCCAAGCTGCGGAGCCCCAATTTGGTCGCCTGAGACTCGAAGTTCTCCGCCGAGACCTCCGCCCTCTGGAGGCCCAGCAGAGTCTCCAAAACCGGCTCCAGGAGCCGCTCGCGTAAGCGTCCCTCCACCAACTCCGCGGCCATCTCCCCTCCAGAACTTTCCGGGCTCTTCGGACTCTTCGGGTCGGCTTCCATGGGTTCCTTGCAGACGTTGGCGAAGTCTACCCAGGAGGCTCCCGAAGCCGAGGTCTCCAGAAAGCACCCGGCGGCATGCTGGAGCCAGGGCCCTCGGAGCTTTGGCCCAAGGCCAAGGAGGCTAAGGCCCCAGGCCACGTTGGCGATCTCAAGGCCGTTCAAGCTTGCCATGAGCACCGATGCCCTACGCATCAAAGGTTCTAGGAGCCAGCTGTGACGTAGGCCCAGCACGGCCCAAGCCCAGACGAGGTTGGCGGTGGCCTGGCCGTCCAAGTCCTCGATTTTCCGCAGCACTTCCCGCGCGATGGCAGCCATCATGTCCTCGTTCAGCAGGCCGAGTTTGGCAAAAGACCAGGCCACCATCGAGAGGTTCTGGGGGAGCAGCGTCTCGATTCGCTCCTGCACCGCCGTAGCCAGGGCATCGAAAAGGCCCTCGTCGGTCAGACCCAGCTTGGCAAAAGCCCAGCACAAGTTCGACAGGTCCTGCGCTTGAAAGCTCCCCATCTTCCGCAGGGCTTCCATCGAGATCGCACTCATCATCACGGCATTTTCAAGGCAGGCTGCGGCGTAGGCCCATGAGATGTTTGATAAATCTTGGGGCGAAAACTCAATCACGTTCTTCGTCATCTCCCAAGCGAGGGCATCAAGAATCTCGTGCGACTCGCTTCCCTCGAGATGAGCAAAGGCCCAGGACAAGACGGCGAGATCTTGCGGATTCAGGACCTCCCTCCGTGCCTTCGTTTCCGCCACGGACTCTTGGATGAAGTCTGTGCTCTTCAAGGCCAACTTCGCCATGGACCAAAGGAGCATCGAGAACTCCTGGTTGCTGAAGCTCCTCATGTTCGCCGCAGCCGCGGCTGCAAGATCCTCCAGGACCTGGCTCTTGAAGACCTGCTTGGCACAGCCCATGGCCACATTCGCCAAGCCCTGGGGTCCCAGCTCCCCGAGCAGGCTCGGCAGGTGACCCATCAAAGCCACCATCATGGGCTCCTTCCGCAAGCTGAGGCATCCAAAAGACCAGACAGTCATGGCGAGGTTCTGCGCAGGAAAGCTTGGGGTTTTCTCACAAACATCCGCAGCCAAGGCCTCCAAGAGTGGAGCATCTGCCCAGAGCAGCTTGGCACAAGACCACGCGAAATTCGACAAGTCTTGACAGTTGAACTCGGACATCTCCGAGGCTTTCTTGCTGAGGACCGTCAAGAGCTTTGCATGGTAATGGCCGGAAGTCCCACATGCCCACATCACGGAAGATGCGTGCTGCGGACTGAATTCCGCCTGCTTCAGCATGACGTCAGATGCAACCGCATCGAGCAGGTCTCGGGTGAGCAGGGACAGCTTGGCAAAAGCCCAAAGAAGGCTCGCTGAGTTTTGTGGGGAGAACCTTCGCAACTTCTGCTTCACTACCTGGGCCCCCTTGTCAAAGAGATCTGCCTTCGCGGACGCAAGCTTAGCGAAGCCCCACAAAAGGTTCGCAACACCCTGGCAGCTCCAACTATCAATCGTTGACGCCTCTCCTACCGCTGTATCCAACATGGGTTCTGAAGAGAACTGAATCTTCGCACAGGACCATATCAAGTTGGACACATTTTGTGGCTCCCAGGCAGCGCCACCAAAGGAAAATGCTTCGCAGATTCGGGAGAACAAGGTGGGATCAGAGTGCTGGAGTGTGGCAAAGGACCAAGCAATGTTGGCAAGCCCCTGCGGATCGAATGCATCGAGCTTTGCCACAGCAACCCGGGAGACACTGTGCAGAAGTGGCGTGCGGCAGGAGAGCCTTGCAAGAGACCAAACCACGTTGCTGAGTGCCTGCGGATCGCTTTCAACCACCTTTGCAGAGAATGCATCCAGGAGTCCTTGCAATAGCTGTGCCGATGGTGGTACAAAGCCAAAGCTCCAAATGATATTGGAAAGGCCTTGAGGTTCAAATTGATGTAAACGAGAAAGTATTGCATCGGCCATCCCTGCTTCAACTGCGACATCTCGGAACTGCAGACGTCCGATGGCCCATTGGATCTTGGCTATGTCTCGTACAGACGCACGGTCATGTGAGGTCACGGCCTCCTTGGGACAAGTTTGAAAGAGGCCAGGAATCTCAACCCACCACCCGAAACGCAGCCGCAAGCGAACATGGGCCGGGGTCTGAGGCCTGGGACATCCAGAATCCTCGCAGTTAAGTCGCGACCGCTCTCTGGAAGAGGTCCTTCAACCGTGGATCCCTTTTCACCTGGCACTGAGATCTGGATCCGAGTCGTCAGCACAGGTCCCTGCAGATGTACTGTCAGAGTGTAAGACACGAGACCACCTCAAGATCGACGAACCTCCGAAATGCTTAAGACCAGTCCTAGCGACTACAGCGTTCTCAGCCAATGGCAACCGTGCGCCTTGTGTACTCATACTCTACAGACTCCAATTTAGCGCAAAACTCTCACCTGAAGCCACAGACAACCAATGAAAAGCACAAAATCCAGCCGGATGCCTGCCAGCGATCTGCAGACTTGGCAACCCGGTGCCTCGGCCCGGAACAGCCAATTTCGGAGCTCCAGTAAAGGGCTTCACGCCACTTAGCTTACGACACCAGCATTGAGCGTGGCCGGCGCGTCTGTAGCTACAGCAAGGTTTTAGGGTTCAGGGTTGGAGATTGCGTCTGAGGCTTCAAGCAAGGCATGGCGATTTCAGGGCAAGGTGTTCGGCATCTCAAGGTTTGCTCCATGCACTGTGACATTGGGCGACAGCAGTTGATTCAGCAGCACAACACGACGACGACTACACCTCTAATGTTACAATCTTCGCCACCTGTCAGAACATGACAACTCAATTCCCTACTAACTACGTAGTCATACCACCACCACCACCACCACCACTACCACCACCGCCCCACTATCAACAGTCCTGCCCGGTCGTGCTGCTTAATGTCGTGCACATTTGCCTAAAGCTTCAAACCCTCAAACCTAAAAACACTAAAACCAAAACCAAAAGCTGCTCCAGGCGGCAAGTTCGTGATCACATTGGCGATGTCGAACTCGGCAGATCTGCTCTCAGCGAAGGCGAGCAGCTCGCGGGCACTCCACAGCGTTGAGAGTTGCCTTGGGCATTGTAGGGGCAGTAGGAACATCCCAAAAGCAAACTAAACGCCAAATAACAAAAATGCCTACAACCACCGAAACCACCTATGAACCAACATCAGGAGCTTGTGAGCACAGTGTAGCCTTGAGCAAGTTGCTTGTTGATCCGAACTTCATGCTGACTATCCTGGCATCGGGATCTTCGAGCTCGAGGCTGGGTTCAAAACACCGATGCCTTGGGGCCTCTGAAACAACATCTCCAGAAGCTTGGTCAGCCCAACCCACATCACTCCAGGTGCAGGTTGCCATATACTATCTATCTATACACACACACACACATATATATATATACATATCCCGTCCCAAGAACCTGCCTGAGAAACTGCAGATCCAAGTTGTGGACCCTCGACAACCCGAGAACCAAGCTCAAGCGAACTCCGGATGTAGGGTGTGGGGTTGTCCCACGGCACGGCCGTCCTTCTTGAGAAAAGCCAGCTCCTTCTCATGGTGAGGATCAGCTCTCCAACTCAGCGAACCGCACACGGGCATCTGGCATGGCTTCCTCGGACACAAGTATCA